GCTCTCTTCTTTTGTAGAGTTCTTTACCAAATGAAATAACTGAAATAAATTTCGTACTTTCCGCCACCAACAAGAATTGCACACACGATCTGATAAGTCAGGGGGGTTCAGCTTTCGCTTCTACAGATTCATAATTATATAGCAAAATTGAAGATTGTTTTGTTTCATAGCAACCTGAGTTACTGGAACCTCTGATGCCAACGATCAGATCGTGTTTGGAACATTGACACTGCTACGTGAGACGCAATGCTGTCATGGCAATCTACATGATATTCAAGTATGGAATTGTTGTTTTGTTAAAGCTGGAGTAATACAAGCAACAAAATTGCTGCAACTTGCAACAAAATCTGATTTCAACGCATGTTAAGTAGAAATGTCGACACACGTTGCCTCGTGATTTGTAATTTATGTGTAAACATTTTCAATTAACATGCGTAGAAATCAGATTTTGTTGCAAGTTGCAGCAATTTTGTTGCAAGTTGCAGCATTTTTGTTTATTGATGTCCGTCGAGACGGACAACACTTGTTGCCAGGCGGCACACATTGCATTGATGTAAACCCACGTGACGGCAAATGAGCCAATCACGTTTGGCGTTAACCCCATAGATATCTTATATACACTAGATAGCGCATCTCTTTTAGTAAAATTGAAGCCAAGAATATTCCAGCGGTTACCCCCATTTGAATAGATGGCGGCCATGTTGGAGTTTCCCACTCGCTAATAAACGCTTAAAAAACAACAATAACTTTCATCATTTGAATAGTTTGAAAATGTATTTGGAATAGGTTTAACTTAATATTTAAGTTCCGTGTTTAAGAAATAGAAAACATACGAGTCTTCTCATTTCATGGGAATATCCTGAGTCTGCAAACACGGTTTCAATTTTTGAATTGCAGAATAATTAGATGCACTATCTAGTGTATACAAGATATCTATGGTTAATCCTAGCTATACAACAGTTTTTAATGTGGTTTTAGGAACTAGTGATGGACATTCTGCGAGTACTTGCCTCGCCTGATCTCGAGGTTCGCAAGAAGACGTTGGATCTTGTCCTTGAGATTATGAACACGAGAAACATCCATGAAGTCGTGATGGTTTTGAAGAAAGAAATCACCAAGACACACACAGAGGAAAGCACGACGGAAGATTCCGGCAACTACCGACAGATCCTCGTCCGTACTCTACACGCATGCAGCGTCAAGTTCCCGGATGTTGCAGAATCTGTTGTTCCCGTTGTAAGTATATTAGGGAGTTTACGATCTACGACGCGTCTGGCTCGACGACGCGCTTTCAAAACAAAAACATTTGGTGTTTCCACAAACAATAGTATTATATGTTTTATCGCCATGCAAACATACAAAGAACTTACAAAGAAATTTGTCATGCAAGACGAAAACTGTCAATAATTTGTGGTCCCATGAGTATTGTCAACCGCGTTGTCATTCTCAACACAACATTAAACAAG